GCATTGGGAAAGTTTCCCCTCAAAAATTCATACGTTTGAGATTGGCACAGAAGATGAAATGGGCCCAACACCACTGAGTTAACCTACGCCCAGAGCCTAGACTGAATGCCACTGTGGGAATAGCAGGTGCAGACGCGCCTGCTTGAGAGCTCGACTCTAAAATCGTCTCCACCACACGTGCTTCAGGACGAGCTGCGTTCCGGGCCGCCAGAGCCGATAGAACGATTCGGAGTCGCCTCCCGAGCTGTGCCCACTGAGGCCGCGCCACGCACAGGGCTCTCGGGAACAAGTTGGCCGCTCCGATTGCGAACTTTCCACCGCCTCGTCATTGCATCGGGATTGGCTCCGCTCTTCGTAAACGAGGCTTCGATACGTCAAAGGCATCGCTGTTAGTACACAACTCGCGGTGCTGACACCAGCCATGCAGTCCTTAATTGGAGGTGTGCCTCTCCGGGCAGGAAGCTTGTAACTGCGGCCCCATGTGGTGGTAGAAGCACGCTGTGCCTGTCTGTTACCGAAGGTGTGGCTTTGTAAAAGAGCTGCAGTTTCCTCCTCTGGAGCGAGACCTCAAAGGGGTCAGTGCCAACAGTTCGCAGTCAGTTTTGCTTTGCTTTGCTTTGCTTTGCTTTGTTGTCAGGAGGTCCATTGTTCACGATACAATTCAACACTTCACGGGCGCGAAATCACCAAATCAAAAAGTAAGGTACTTCAAACATCGGCAGACCTCAACCCTACACTTAAGCAAAAAATCCTTTCTAGCCTACTAGCCGCCCGGTTCCTCGCGCTAGGAGAGAATGGATAGAGCCTTCACTTCTCCAGCTAAGCAGGCGATTTCTCGATTATGACATCCTGGTATTTCACCCTCCCCTCGGGCGAAATACCAGGATGGTCGAATATGTGGCTTATACCAGGTATTGGCCGCCCTGACAATCGGTCTTTCTATACTGGTCATTACAACATTGCACTATGCACTGTATTCTATGAGAAAAGGCACGCGAGCAATTATGAATAGGTACTCGATAATTTGAAATATTTATGACCAGTGTCTTAGGCGCTCCAAATATATTCGTTTTCTATTCGGAAATCGAGAAAATTAGACTTAGGCCTAAGGTGCCGTCGGCGGAAGCGATGCAGTCGTGCATCACGACAAGTCATAATAAATGAATGAAGAAAATTTCCACGTCAACAACACTAATGCACTCGACCAGCTAACCGAAGCATGTACGCAATCAACACGCTCAAAACTTTACACTTTTACGATCAGGAGCTCAGTTGACACGAATTTTAAGAGTTTTTGCGTCCTGAGTAATCAGTTTCACCCGAGGTGTTTTGATAGCTTAAATGACGTGGCACAAAAGACGACAGATTTACATAAAAGACCAAAGTACGTAGGTGAAAGTGACACTAAGAAAAAATGGAGCAAAGAATAAGCAGTGTTCTTGTCTGTACACCTCGAAAGAATCTCGCGGAAGAAAAATGGTCAAAAGGGTGGAGACTGGGCAGAAGAAAATTTATTTTTTCTCCATTACCCCCCCCCCAAAAAAAAAAGCAATATGAAGGTTTCATTACCGAACCGCTATGGAAATCCTAAACTATTTTTTTAACTTCGTCTCAGAATTCTGACATTCTTTTTAACTCCAGCAGAGTTCGAACGAGACCATAAAATTGACATTTAACGAGACCATAAAATTGACATTTAACAATAAATTTGTTGGGTTAAATCATTACAACTTTTTAGGCATGCGTGAGTACGTAAAAGAATAGTAATAAAAACGACAATTGCATCACACAAGAATATATGTAAATAAACTTGCATCACCAGTCGTTCGGTAGATCCTTTCAAATAATATTCGCAGGAGAGAAGAAATATGCTTTCCGTTTTCCAGAAATGGATACCTGCGTTAGTATGAATTTTGCCGCAGTATAAGCTTAAAAATCCTTCACCAATATCCGCATTGCTAACGCATTACTTTCAGTTATCGAGCAAAAAGGAGGCACCGTAACCACTACCTCCATTTCATTAAATAACCCAAGATTCAAGAGGCAAACGACAATACTAAGAAACGGTGCAGAATACTATGCTTAACGACGTAAAAAAACACGCTATGAAAAAGAGTTCGGTCTACAATAGACATCCTCTCGAGAGTAAACAAACCGCGAGCCGCCAAGCAAGCACTGAGCCGCCTCCTAGTGGCCCGCGCTCAATTTACGGCCCAGGAAACGTTCGAGTCGCGCAAGTGGTTGTTTTAATTTCGGTGGGGTGGGGTAGGGTGGGGTGGGGTGGTCCCCAACTGCGCCGCACCTCGCCGCCCAAGGCCGCTGGGCGCCAGGCGCCGCGCGGTGAGGCGGGAAGGCGGTGGAGGCGGCGGCGGAATGCGGCTGCGGGCGCACGGAGGCGAGGCAAGGACGCGCCCGCGCAGCGCAGCACAGCACAACGCAGCGGTGGCCCGGGAGGCTCGCCCGGGGCCGCCCAACCGGCGCCCGCGCGCGCGAGGGCGGGGACGGGGACGCCGACGCCGACGCTGTTGCGCTACTCTTCTACTTGGTGCGATGGCGTCGGCGTCCGTGTCGGCTTCCAAAATGAGGGTGGCGCGGAGTTTGAAGTGCTAGCAGAGGCAAAGCGAATTTTTGTGGTGGAGAATGGGTTGTTTTCGAACAAACTTAAACTGTTACTTCTTAACAGACGTCACTGGTGCAGGCTGATGTGGCGTGCAATGTAGTTAAGTCATGTTTAAACAAGGCGTCGTCTATTTTTGGAAGACGTTTAATCTAATTACCCCCGAAAGGCTCAGAAACCAAGATTTCGAAATTTTCTTGGGGATCTAACAGAAATATCGAACGATGCCACCAAAACGAGTACACTCGAGGTTTTTAGGGTGTTCGTTCCTCGTCAAAGACCATATCCACATCTACTGCTTCGTACATGTATTCCGATATGTCTAATGCAATCACCCTTCTGTAACACCTTTTCATTTCATTCTTTAAATCACAATATTATAGCATATAAAAAAATAATAATAGTGTAGACACAGTGGCGAAAACTATAACACACTAATAACACTGTTACATTTCATTTTTTGAAATAAATGACGTTCACACACAAATTTCAATTTTAACCAATGACTCACATAAAAATATTTTCTGCTTCGTTGAATTCTTCTAAAATACGAGTTTAAATCATTATTACACTCCAATTAATATCTTCTAAAACTAGGAGGATTTCATCGTACTTTTTCTTATTTTATTTCACTAGACCCCTCTGCCCGTCGGTCAACGACCGCTTGCACAACTAGCGTTGGCTCAATTTCTCGAAATATTTCGAGATGGACCTTTGAATCTCCCAAAACATGCAATTAAGAAAACTGCTTTCTTCACAATACATCATTATTCTTCAGGAAATATAAAATTATTTAACAGATTTTTACCGAGCGGCAGAAGCTATTTACAGCAAAATAATGACGTGACATTAGAAAAACTTGATACATTTTTTAAAAATTACACAATAAATAAATAAAACTTCGGTATTTTATTGAATCAATTGCTGTATCTTGATAAACGCAAAACCGCATCCTTTCTGAAAATTGATTGATAGTCGTCGACATATTTCATTTCATTTTTTCATTTCGATCTCAATTCATTCATTCATTCAAGTAAATACATAGAATGAGCCGAAATTATATTCGTAAGGCACAGGAGAAAAGATGATGAAATGAGACGAAAATTAATTCTTTAACATACCTATATAATTTTGATATCGAAACAAGAGTCACAATAACACAATACGTCAATAAATAACTTATTTTAAATATATATCTTAATCTCATTAATACCTATCTGCAAATACACAAATTTCGAAGGTATAATGAATATAAAAATCTTCATATTTACGTATTTTTTTCCTTCTGATATACCTATTCTGAAAGAAAATCAGCTTAATCAAAAAGTTCAATGTTCTAGTATCTAGTAAGTTCCATAAACTTCTGATTTTTATTTGACAGTTTTTCCGTGGCCATTTATCTGTCAACTCTTATCCAAGTCCATATACTACATTCATTTCTGCATTACGAAATATGTGGGCCACATCTCAGATGTTTCTTTCGATGGGTTGCTAGGGGCCCCTAAGCACTCTTCGAGCCCACACTATACAAGGCTGTTGAAAAGACTGCTCAGCGTACCTTGCGACAAAACTGATGCCTATTGAAAATACGCGATTTAAACTTGCCAGTCGCGGTGGCAATGACACGAGGACCAACTCATCTAGGTGCGAAGCCTTGCCTTAAGTTGCGCGATGGATAGTTTTGAGTAAATAACGTCTCTAAGCTATGGTCTTGTCGTTCCTCCTAAATCGTGGGCCCGTTTCTTAAAATACTTCTCCAGCATTCGCAATGTTTGGAGAAACCACGGAAGACTAGCGATTGGAGCAGCCGGCCGCAACAATCCTCCTTCAGATAGCGAATTCGACCAAGGTATGAGACTAGTGTCGAAAATCCTGCCACCGTCGGGAGTGGAACCCGTGGACCTCCAGGCACAAGCACTGCAGAGACACGAGTCGATGGCGTGTCGGATGGTGGTCACCCTTGGGGTGGGCGGGGCGAGGGGGCGGCTGAATGGAGCCCTTGTGCTCCTCGGCAGCGCTTTCGCAAACGCGAGCGCAGATAAGCGGAGTCTGACGCGCAGCGCGCAGACGTAGGCGTCTACACCGAAGGTGGGCCGCCAGTGCCGGTCGGCAAAGCCACTCCTGGAGGTTCATGCCACATCAGCACAGCACAAGCTGCGAAGAAATAAAACCTACTACCGTGCAGATCGGTTGGATATTTTTAGCTGCGGGGAAAAAGCGCGTATGGTAAACATTTGAAAAGATAACACAGTAGTTACACAGAATACTAATTGAAATAATCGCTCTTATTCTTTTTATAAACGCAGCTAGTAAGTAACAGTAAGAGCAAACTTCCCGAATCTTCAAAATGAAATCTAAATATTCTTAGACAGACCTCGTACTATTATTCGCCGTTCTTGTACAAGTCCTGCAAATATTACATTTAAGCATGCTTAAAAATGACAACTGTAAAATCAAGCTCAGACATGACTTATCACTAGTTGTTGAGCGCGTGTTTGCCTGATGTCTGCCAGCAGATGTCTCTGTACAGAAGGCACAGACTTCAGCATATAAAAAAAAATATTAACAGTTAGAACCTGCTGGTGGCGTACTATGGAGATCCCTACCCTAACCCACATAAACGATTAATTCTGAAAACAGAAACAAAATAAGCAATGTTACCAAGAATTGATAAAATCTTCCCTCCGATGTAACAAAAATTATTTGTAAAAACCAATCGTCTTCGGATTTGAACTATTATCGCTCAGCGAGTCCTTAGCGTGTTATGTTGTAACCTTTCAACAATTCACACCTACGTGAAAATGGCCTTTTCAGACGCAGCCGTTTCGCAAGAGATCAATGAACTCCCTCCGAATGTTAATGGGAGAAAGAGAGGCAAAGACGTCGTGTACGCAGTGGCTTCGCAAGGATGTTCGTCGATTTCTCGGCGACTCTTCTTGGAGCTGCTACGATTATGTAGTTAGGGAGTTTGTGCTGCTTCGAACGTTAAAGCACTGTCCATCTTCTGCGCACGGGCAGTTTAAGTTTCACACCACTTGAGTGCATCTGCTCATGCACAGAAGATCGATAGTCCTGACGCTGTGGTCTGCACAAACTCTTTGTTTACAGAGCCCTCGCGATGAAACGGAAGCCTGACGCCGCAAGACGAAATGTGGAGATATTATGAGCGCTAAATAGAGTACACGATGATGAGATTAGCGAGTGTAACACGCTCCCGCTCTCAAAACGTCGACGAAACTAGAACTTTCCTTCAATCGTAATCTTAAAGACTCGTATGAATCAAAAGTCTATTACTAACATTATTCATGCGCTTATTGTGAACATGCTGCGTGCAGTAAGACGTGTATGACAAAGGTCTCAAATTTAAGGACACAGGGCATCGTGACATACTTTTTTCTGTATTTTCTGACAGTTGACTTTAATCTACATTACAAACGACTACAATGGCATGTATCTTCTTCACAGATTTCACAATCCAAATTTAAAACTTATTTTGTTCTCGTCACAATACGGACAATCGAGACCGTCAATTACTCAAGGATGAGGGATCATACATCTGTCATTGTAACAATAGAGACTTTTCCAAATGATACGTTTACTACGAAAATCGACTCGTACAATAATTTATCGAAATTCACTTTTTTTTCTTTTTTGGTAAGTTTGAGAGACTGCTTGAAGGGATGATGAAGGGATTTAGTTCATATTCAGCTTATTCCCACCTACAACATATCATCTGTGTACCATATCGCGAGTGAACGGGAGAAGATTAATGCTTCTGTAAAAATCACGTCAAATGAAACTCCCTGAATGGCCGGTTTGTCCCCCAGGCTTCTTCGATTCCAAGTCGTGTGTATTTCTTCTACTTATTCTCGATGCCCTGCGCGTGGGAGGCAGAGGGGCGGGGCACGGAGATCGCCTTACCTCGAAGACGCCGAGGCAGCGGCCGAGCTTCCCGCACACGCCGGCCTCCTCCAGCACCTCCCGGATGGCCGTGACGCTGGGCTCCTCCTCGGGCTCCACGCCGCCGCCCGGCACGATCCAGTGGTCGGGGCGCCGCGACGACGTCACCAGCAGCACCTAACGCACAAACACGCAAACAAACAAATAAATAAATAAATAAATAACATGTCTAGGCTGAAACCATTAGATTGGCCCATCCTTCTGACCTCTCTTAAAAGCACATTAAATTCCATAATTATATAGGTAATTCCAAGAAAAAATGCGTACTCTTTCTGGGAAAAATGTTCCTCACTACTGTAGCAGAAGCGAAAACGAAAGAGTAAGGGTTTGACGGGAAAAGAATGTTCTCGCAAAATAGGTGTATTTAATAACTTCAATTTATAAATACATTTAAAAATAATCATAAAAAAATTCTATGAATATATTAGAATGGAATTTGGCACTTTACCCAATTACAGTAAAAACCTATGCCTACCCTCGCACCAACACACATATCCATAATCACCCACATGGTTGCACAGCACTATTAACGTCATTAGGATGACATATAGCAAATAAACGGAAGGCCCAAGCTGTGGACGAATGGATTGACAACCTAAGGTCGCGGTTGTAGTTTGCAAACCGAGGCGTCAGTCGAGGGTTAAAACCAAGACCATTATTTGAAATATCGGCCATGTGTCGTTCAGTACTTTTCTTAATACAATCTTATTATAAAAATTATCTAAATAAACTACACCTTTTCAAAGAATTGAACTCGTATGCACTTAACTGCAACTCATTTGTTGCCATTGTTTTAACGGACGGCTGACTGTTGAATCCTTGATGGACACCGGTCGTTAAGAGTGGCTTTTCATCCTTCTCTTTAGGCAATATAACAGAACAGTGTTACAAAAAGTAATTTACTTTGCACGGGCCGAAAGAGTTGCACCAGAAGAGAGTCATTTATGAGTTTCCGCCCGTGTGTCATAGCACTTTTTTTTCATACCTATAAGTCGCATTTTCTACTTTCACATTGTTAACAACCTTCACGACGTAAGCCTGTCAATATTACCGGCGACACCAGAGCCCTCTAAACTTACAATTACAATGCCCTGAAGATTTTCAAATGAAATGAAAGGAAACTTGTAGATTCCAAAATGTAAAAAAGAGACAATACAATGAAGCATTCTAACAATTAATATCTTAAATTTGAATAACGGTGCTCTGTAAACAACATTGTATTTTACATTTCGAATAAAACTCTTTAAGTGTAGTGAAAACTAGGAATAAACTACGTCTGTGGAGGTAGAACTATCTTCAAAACCGTTTCGAAACCCTATTAAGATCCGATTGATCACGGTCTATGCTTGGAAAATGCTTACGTAGAGGAACTTTAAATAATATAATAAATCTTTATTTTACATATTTTCAATACATCCTTACAAATTTTGATATATATATATATATATATATATTATATATTATATTATATATATATATATATAATATAACTGACTTTATATTCCCATATATTCGGATTTACAATGGCGACTGTAGTTTTTTGGAGTTTTGAAATCGACATTTAAAGCCCAATTGTGTGCACGAAATTTCCATAGTATTCCTTTTAATATATATATATATATATATAGTGTCGAATTTCAAAACTCCAAAAACTACAGTCGCCATTGTAATATACGAATATATGGGAATATAAAGGCAGTTATTTTACAGAAGAGCATCATAAACCACTATTAACAACTGCGCCAAAACGTTCATTAGTCTGTCGATTTACATCCTGTATGACGAAGTATTAAAATAAACTGCCTTCCCTGAGTGAAGGCGGGGGTTGCGTATTGTTCGTTTTCTCTGCAAACTAACAAGAAGAGAAAAAAACGAAGTATTCTTTAATTTAAATTTTGTTCATGGTATATGAAGAGCAAATGTAAGTAAAATGAATGCAAAAAGAATCGATAAGCCAAGGCTTTCACAAATAAACGAGAACCCACACAAACGGAATGAAAGCTTCCAGAATATACACAACTGATGGTAAAGTTCATTTCCCTTCGAAGAAATCCTTAATATCTCTAGCTTTTACTAGCAAGGCAATGCACTCCGAAGTCTTTAAATCCGAACTTTGCAATAAGTTCAAGGAAGAAAAAAAAAAACCAACTTTTTCTATGAGTCCAAACTTTGAAGGCAATCGACATAAAAAGAAAGAAGAAAACTAAGAGCAAATACGCACGAACAGTGTCACGCGAACAGGACAACGAGAACCACTCAGAATATGCGGAAAGAAAATACATTTCGCAGCAAGGAGCAAAAACTCTGGCAGTGGGCGGGGCCTTGGTGCGCCTCCAACGCCCGTGATTCAGCGGCGCCGCGCAGCCCCGCTCCGCTCCGCTTGGAGGCCCACCAACCGGCCCTCGGGCAACGCCCCCGGGAGGTCAAGGGCAGAGGGCACGGTGGCCCCCCAGGGAGGAGCCAAGCGCGCCACGAGCCAGCCCTGGAAATCATTTTTGCGGGGCTGCGTGCTGGGAGTGGGGTCGGGCAAGCAACGGTGTGGGGGCCAGGCAGCGGATGGGCGGAGGTGGAGAGTATGGGTGCTAAAGGGGAGGGGGGCGACGGAGGGGGTTGTTGGCGAAGAGGGGTGTGCGGCAAGGACGAGAAGGGAAGAAGAAGCGTAGGGATAAAGCGGGCGGAAGCAATTATTCTAAATCATTTAAAAAATAACTTCCAATAATAAGGTGACAATAAATGCGACAAAAGGTGTCTCACAATAAATGTGATAAAATTAATTACGTCCAATATCGGGCACAGAAAACTCAAAAGATAACGCACGAAAAAGGCAAGCAAATTTGATTAGCCGAACTTAATTAGATTATCATGTTTCCAAAAGAAACGACATTTGTGAAGGAAATGTAAAACTGACATGAATGAAATTTCATCGAAAAGTGTACTACGTAAGATTTTATGGATATGTACAACAGGACAGCGGAAATACAGAAGCGTAAGATGAAATATAGAATATTCTACTATCAGGAAGGGACTAAATTATTTTCCAGTCTACAATGGTTCACTACACGAGAACACAGAATTGAATTGAATTGAATTGATGCCTTATTTTAGGTGGCGTAACTCAGGTCATTAGTTACCACGACCACGCAAATTTCGCTACGCTTCTTACACCCACAGAGGGAGTATGAGAATGAGGAAGTCGAACTTCATAAAGAGCGCAGTTTGGGAAATGATTTAAGAGCAAGTTTTAATAAGAGCAGAGAATGAAATAGTTGAATTGGGAGAAATATGCTATAAAGAGATGAAAATTAGAAAAAGAAATACAATAAAAAGTAAATAAGAAGAAATACATCAGAATGTTAATACTAGAAAAGAAGATTAACCTTATTATTCTATTTCGAACTGCATTCAGGCAGAAACAAGAACCTTTGTAGAGGGAAGCTCTGAGAGGCAAATATAAGGGGATAACAATAATTCACTGTCTAAAAAGAGAATAATTGCACCAACATGTACAGAATAGTTCTGCATTCTAGAGTCAATGACAGTCAAATGTCTTTTGAAGCTTCCAAACAGTTTCTTCAACTCGTCTATCTTGATGGGTTTATCCTCCAAACACATGCCCATTGCACTGCAGAGTATGCATTTGCATAAAAAGGGCAAATAAGCTATCAATAACTGGCATAAACAGAAGTTCTTCCTTATGAACACATTTCAATTTACAGCCTTGCAACAAACTAGAATAATCTCATTATAAAATACAAATACATAAATCATTCCGAATGAACTCCAAACGTGTAGACTCCAAATAGGTCGGTAACTACAAGATACAGGCATTATTGTATTGATTGTCACTCCAAAACATGTTTCATTAAATTTTTATGGCTTGACAGAATATTGGGGTAACGCCCATGTCAAAAGTTCCACTTCCCTCTCTAAACGACGCCTTCTGTGCAAATCTGAAGCCTTACGCGCAGACTCCATTACGAAATGTACTTGCGCAATCGTACAAGCATCGCGGAAGGCGAATCGTCTGGCGGAGACCCCAACGCAGCCACCTGTTCGTGCGAACAAGCGCGCGCGCACTCGTCCGGCTTCCACTTCGTGGCCGGGAGGTCGTTACGAGCGCCGTGTTCCAGCGTGTCGCCGGGGCGTTTCTCCAGCGTTGCGTGCCGACGAGGACTGAGGACTGAGGACTGACGGGAAACCCCGCAGCGCTCTCAGCATTACGCGAATTGGCGCGCGACGACGACGGAGCCGGGAGAGGGGGGGGGGGAGAGAGGCGCAGCACAACGCCGATGAACACGAGCTCTGGCTGCGCACGTCCGGCCGTCGGGGTTCAAATCCCGTTCAGCCCACGCGGACTTTGTGGTAGGCGAATTGGGTTCCGACAGGTGTTCCAGGCTTTCTCGCGTTTTCCCCGACTCTTAATTCATCCTCATTCATACCTCAACATAGTAATCATATACTCGTACGTCATGAAAATCATTGATTCATAGAGGTATGGGCAGGCACGAGAGTATAGGAAAGAATAGCACTTGATGTGATATTACATGATCAGCAGACGAGGGGCGCTAGCCTAAGGTATTTCCCAGAGTGATCAGCAGACGTAGGCACACCCAGAGCAAGAAGATCCTTCCCCACAAAAACAATTTCTTCTGCAATATTACTATATTCATTAATGGCACTACATATCACTGCCGGCTTTTCAAGAACTAATTCACATTCTAGAAATATATGTTTAATGAAACTATGGAGGGACGAGCTCGGAACTGAATTCACCAAGGGCTAGGGCTAGGCGAAGGCGAAGGCGAAGGCGACGGGGACGGGGACGGGGACGGGAGGAGAAGAGAGCAAGGCCGAATGAGCCAGAGACTGGGTCGATGCGGCGCGGTAACTTCGCGCGAGGGCGCCGCGCGCTTCCGTCGCCGCCGCCGCCGCCGCCGCAGTCGCCTGCACCGTCACGGCCCGACGCGCACCGGCCTTGGCCCAGGTCAGGCGCCGCCTACGCCTACCACCGCGCCCGCGAGAGCGCTCCCGGCGCCACCGACGCGGGCCGGAAAGCTCATGCCCACCGCCGCACCGACACCCTTCCCTGCATCGCACACAGTATTAACGCGTAGTCATCCACTCGGAAGCTTCAATACCAAAACTATTTCAATACTAGCGAAATTCCCGATTCGCTGACAGTAGCCACCTCTTAAGTTTAGCCCGTGACCTTGGAGTGCCGCTATGTTTAAATCGGAGTACAGAGGTTTTGTGGCCAGATCACTCCATCTTTCCATTTCTGGGGTACAGAGATTAAAAAATTCGTTTGATATCCATGATATTTGTGATGGATTAAAGCAGGTTTGCAAGAGGCTTTCTCCGCGTTCACCCGTTTTTGCTGCCAGTCGTTGTACTATTGTTCCATCATTCACTTCATATCTTAACTATTTGAGGAATCGGCATTCTGGTTCTGTGTTATTTAATCGATAATATCGTGATATCGATATTGCTCAAGCGATATTACCATGTTATACATTCCTGCACTACAGTATCGATA